TTTCAAAGATGTTCGTAGAATTCATCCTTATTCTCTTGTTCTGAGTTGTTTGTATGTGCGTAACACCAGATGATTGTAACTTCCCTTCGTTTTGAGTTGAATCTTGCTGTCACTATCTTGGAGGAGATTGCTTCATACTGCATAAGAGCCTTGGCTGCTTTTGATGACATCATGATAACCCCTAACTCGGTGTACTTGTCGTCTGGATGACAAGAGTAGATTTCTGACTATACAAATAACGATCTGGAGAGTCCACTTCGCTTCCACCTGCTCTCACAGATTCCTAGCACTTCTATGCAATATCTTCTCATTTCTTTGACAAACTGATATGGCTTCCCAATGCCGAGCAGACGTTGTATGTCCCGAAAACTCTTTTTGGTCTCACTGAATGAAGACACCGGCTCACTGACACCCTGAAGGAGTTTATCAGTCTCTCAGATTCCAGTGAAGTATAATTCCTTCTTGTTCTTTAGTTTTTGTAGCGACAGATTTGATTTTCTGGTGTAGGGTTGCTAAATCCACGCTCAACCTTCCCTCATTTTACGAGCTAACGACCAGCTAGTGAATTAGGCGAGGCCCTCGAGTGGAATCCATGTGAGAAACAGCAAGTTGGGTGTTCGAAAATGACATGAAGGAGATAATGTGAGGAAGAAATGAAAGCATGTGCACAATCGTGGGATCAACTAAAACTAGAGGACAGAGTGAATGTGCTGATGAAGCCGAATGTTTACGTGGAACCAAGGGAAATAATAATATTCTATAGTTGGTTTGTAAGGATTAGATTTGCTTTACGAGTTGATCACGGATTGATATCAGTTAGAGAACCATTGAAAAACAGCTGGAAGTACTGGACAGCTGTTTCATCCTAGTTTTCAGGAATCATCGGCAGTACGCACCCACTGCCGGGGTTCGAACCCAGGACCTTCCGGTTACAAGTCAAGCTAGCTCGTATTCCATTCAGCCACCGGGATCCGATTCAATGGCCAACCCATGAATTCTAACTTCTAACAATTCGTGATTTAGCGCTACCACCAACCAATGTCATTGGCAGGATATCCATCCCCACACTTGACTGAATGGACATCACTGGTCACGACTTCTCACTAGAACTCCGTCCTGTAGCAAGTCACTAGCGAGCATCAGATTAACTTTCTCTGGTTGGTTTGTAAGGGTTATAATTCATGGGCTGGCCATTGAATCTAGTCATAGTGGCTTAATGGTCTACGAGCTGGCTCGCCTTGTAACCAGAAGGTCCTGGGTTCGAACCCAATGGGTGCGTTTCACCGATGATTCCCAAATTAGGATTAAACAGCTGCCCGGTAGCGCCTGGTTTTCAATGGTCCTCTAACTGATTTCAATCCGTAATCAACTCGGAATAATAATATGACCTGTTTCGGATTAATATTCAAATGAATGAAACAAGCCGAGATACTATTGTAACAAGAGAAGACAAGGGTTAGGCAACAGATCGTTTATTAAGGAAAATCAACACATATTTATAGATTTTAATGTACATTATTGTAGATTATTGTTAGTAGGAAATACAGTCTTTCGATTGGTTGTTTCTCACAGAAAGTTAACCTTGCATCTCTTTGTGGCTGTGTCAGATCATCAATATGCTAACTGTATCCGCCTACGCAAAGCCTTTGTTCTCATTTTCTCACCACCAAATTGGGGACATAAACACTGACGTCAATTACTGTCTACCAACTTTGGCTAGCAGTCAGCTCTCACCACACTATTAGTTCCCAAATACTATCTTCAATCCACCTCCCTTTACTTCTACATTTTTGTTGGCTTATAGGTGTAATGGAATAACTGTTTGGAAGATCCTTCATGAACGATCTATTTACAATATTGCTATATAATTATGATCCTCTCTCCTCCTGAACTGTATATCATTGTTCTGACGTTTGCATATCATCTATTGACTGAATGCTTATTATTTGTCTTTGTTCATGTTTAATCTCTAATTTTAATACTTCTCTTTGTGGTTGTGTGTTGATATTAACAATATGTTGTTTTACGACTGCAATTCTGTTTGAGTCAGTCAATATCATTCAGACCTTAGACTGTTTGCGGGAATTGTTCAGTGAATGATTCTTACATACACAATGTTTCGACCCCGCCTTGTTGGAACTATTCTTATTACTTCTTAGTTACTTCATACGGTTGATTTTTAGTCAAATAATTCTGTTGTACAGTACTTGTTTTGTACCCAAGAATCTATTGAATCTGTATAGCTGCCTAACGGTATTGTTGAGATAATTTTACGTTTTGATATTTTCTGATTGTTGAAGAGTACAGCAGATTTTATTGCAAATAACTCTATTTTTGCAATCGTTGGGGCATTTTGTGACTGTAAATAACTCAAAGAAGAGTCTTGGTCAGCTATACAGCAGGACTCAAAGATCGATTTCCTGCGTTCGGACATAGTAGTTTACGAATATTCTATTACTTTTGCAGTTTAGTGTGTGTAACACTGATTACTTCATAGTGTAGCGGGTAAATAATCCCCCAAAATTACTAATCTACAGCACTCTTCACTCAACATTGGATGTTGATATTCGCTGCTTAAGTCGATTTGTTTAACTGTCGACACGCTGTCGTGTTATGTTCAGTCGTTCGTCCAAAAAACCCTAGCTAGTTAAGCAACAGTCATCTTGTATTTCGGACGATCAATCTGGTGTTTTGATTTGTCTCCCTGGAAGAAGTACTTTGACTGCTGCAGGATAGAAACTTGCTTTTGCATACAGAATATCTTGCAGAACCATCGCCATCTTTCATCTCCTAAAGTGGCTGTTTAATATTCCTTGGGCTATGAATTTTACTATAACACAGTGTTTCATTAACTAAACAAGCAGTTTTATGCCTACTACTAGACTGTCGTTAATTAATAGTAATTCCTAAATTTTCACAAATACAACCGACTGTACGGGGATGAAATGTATCTACTCCTACATTATATAGATATTAACTGAGAAGGTTTGTAAGAAGCAACTTCTAGTGTTTATACTAGGTCGTTGGATAACATAAAACCTGTATGGAGAAATGACTTATTGGCTTAGGCATTTCGCTTTCACAATCAGTCAACAGTTCGTGATTTCGAAACCTACTCCACCTGACTCAGCCTGGTTAAATATATTTGTAGTATAATCAACTTCTCACTATAAGTGTATTTATATACAGGAAAGACCTATCACAGATAACTAACATGTCACCAGAAAGCCTCTCTAAGAGTTAATAACTATAGTCAACTTCCTCAGTTATCAAATTTTCTTTTATTCCTTATCCTCCTGAGTAGAACATAAGGCTTCCAGCTTTGAGATTTCAGTAACGGTGTTGCCTGTTTTTTACATAGGGTAGGGCTGGCTACTGAATTCACACCAAACCTTCCCTTCTGTTTTGAACTTACTACTGAGAGGCTAAGTAAACAACTAAAGGCGAGGTTTGTGAGTGAGTCAGTCAGTCGACAGTTGAATCAGGAACTGCCCCATATGAGTGGTAAGCACTGACTCAGCAAACTGAACAACCGACGCACAATACCCCATCCAATATTTATAACCCAACAATCAGGAAACAAAAAACAAAACAAAACGAAACAGAGACATTCAATTCTATACAAACAAAAAAGAAAGTTTAACTACATACCATTTCAAATAAATATACAGAAGAATAATGTGAAAGGTAAATAAGGAGAGACCGTGGGGAGGGGTGGGGGTGCGGCGAAACAAAGATAATCATAACAGTGACATTAATAATTATTAATAAAAAGAGTGCATTATATATATATATATATATATATATATATATATATATATATATAATTACGAAATCAGTACATTATATCACATCTAAATTAAATGCCTACTGTGAATAACATGTGCAGGCCTTCTTCTTCTTTGGCTTCTTCTCCTCTCTACTCGATATATGTAACACTGAGTGGGACAATAACAGTGGTTTCATCAACCTCTATCTCTACTGATAAATATTAGTGAATAAGAATCCGCAAAGTGATCTATGCCTTATTGCATGACAAGGTTTTATATATCATGGTTTTGATTTAATATATTATTTATAATACTACTATTAATACTACTTAATAATGATAATGATGATCAAAATAAATGAAATCAAGAGAAAACAATTGGCCTACTATTCATTTCAGGAAACACAGACAAAATTTGTGGAAGAGAGGGTGTTGGATATAAACAACAACAAAGAAAACTGCAGAAAACACAATAAAGAAGGGGGAAAAGAAAGGAAAACAAACACTACTCATCATTTGTCAACCTTTTCCCCCCACCCCCTAACCAACCCGAACAACAACATACAAGACACAAAAAAATGGTTCACTTTATGGTTTAATATACACACAAATATGCGTCTCTTAGATGAGAATTATTAGATTCAGTAGGTAGGTAGGTAGATAGATGGATAGATAGATAGATAGATAGATTAATAATCTGTGTGAAGGAAAAATGATACACCACGAAACTGTGAATCACTCGTTCATATACAATAGTTATAGTAATAATAATAGGGATGTCTTATATAACAAGCATGCACATGAATGGTTTTGTTGCTTTGTTCCTAAGCCCATTTAACATATAAATTGGAAATATAAATATATACACTCACTCACGCAGACCCACAAGCACACACACATTGAATTCTATACAAAATATGAATATCTTTCAGTGAAATTGAAGAATGAAAGGATTATATATATGCATGGTTAATATATTATTGTATATATGGTGATAACCATATTGGTTTATGTATATATATGTGTATATATGTATATGATATTTATTATAAAGGGATGAACAAAAGATGAGTTACGTTATGCCACACAGTATAACGTATCATCATCATCACCATCACTATCATAATGATCATTAGATGGTAGAGCGTGGCAATAAAGAAAGTTTTTGGTTGACAATGAAGAGAAACTATTATTATCATCATTATCATTATTATTATTACTACTATAATTATTAGTTGTTCTTGTCATTATTGACGATATCATCTAAACATATTTGATCAAGTGTTTGACACAGACTGGAATCACGATCATGATCGTCATCATCATCATCATCACCAGAGGAGTCACTGTCAACATGAGCTAAGTGTTTATTTTTACTACTATTATTATTATTATTACTATTATCATCCAGTTTCACAGCACTTGGCGTATCATCATAGACGATAGATGTTGATTTCCCCACAGTTGGTTTAATTGTCTGTCGACTACTACATGTCGGTGTATTGTTATTGTCCTTGTTGTTGTTAATGTACGCTGGATCCAATGTGTCTGCCGGCTTCTTAGTTACAGAGAATAATGGAGGTTTTTGTCTTGAATACTCTGAAGTATTTGTTAAGGTTGATGAATCAACTAATGAAGTGAAATCTGGTAACTGGGAACTTGAATGTTGTTGGGTTAACTTTCTATGCCTTTGTAACTGGTGGTGATGGTGCTGTTGTTGTTGTTGTTGATACTGTTCTACAGATGATAATTGACCTACTCCATAGTCTTCTATGCCAGTACGTTTTTTAGGTCGTTTAACTTTACGCAACATATTAGCCTAAACATTATACATGAAATTAATAAAGACGTAAAGAATATATTGATTGGAAGGTTAAAAACAAAGCAGAAAAGTTTGCAAAACAACGCATCTCCAGTGAATGATGGTGTACCCACTCTGAGACTCGTTTTAAACGTCAAGGAGTTACCCACAGTGTCACGAGAACCACTCTCTTATGCAGCAGTTACCAGTCGCTGTTTCTTGAAGTTAAGTAATACGCCAGATCTCTGTTGACTACTTAGTCAACTCTATTCCCTAACTCACTTCAGAGACTCAGGATTGACTTGCTACCAAGGAATAATCTCGTCGACTTAGAATATGCGGACGACATAGTCCTTCTAGGCGAGGACGCTGACAAAATGCAGAGTCTTCTGAACACCTTGAGCAGCAATCTTCGTATGTTTGGCATGCGATTTGCCCCTGTAAAATGTAAGATGATGTTGCAGGATTGGACTTCACCGACCCCTAGATTAGAAATAGGAAGTGAAGTGGTAGAGCACGTTGACCACTTCACTTATTTGGGAAGTTGTATCAGCAGGTGGCGGCGGGTTGATCTCTGACGAAATCTCAGCACGAATACAGAGGGCTAGTTTCGCATATGCCAGTGTACGCCGTCTCTGGCGTAGACGTGATATCCGACTATCGAACAAAGCGTGTGTGTAATGCTCATCAGTCCGCTCCGTCCTCCTTTATGGCTGTGAGACCTGGCCATTGAGAGCAGAAGACATGAAAAGATTAGCTGTCTTTGATCATAGGTGTCTGCGTTCTATCTCCCGTGTGAAGTGGTATAATAAGGTGAGCAATATTCAGGTTAGGCGTCGAGTGTTAGGTAAGGAGGGGAAATCAGTCGACGAGACTGTGAATCTACATCGACTGAGATGGTTAGGACATGTGCTACGTATGCCTAGTCATCGCCTTCCTCGACGGGCAATGTTAGCTGATATAGGGCCAGGCTGGAAAAGAGCTAGTGGCGGTCAAACGAAAACATGGCCTCATCAGTCAATGAAATCCACAACAGTTAGTTTAAGTCACGTAGGAAGGTGTAGACTTCCTGGTTGGGGTCCTCGGGATGGTAAAAACCAATGGTTGGAAACAATTGGTGACATGGCTCAAAATCGTTGTCAATGGCTCAGATGCATCAACTCCTTGTGACTTATGATTTCCACTTAAACTGTTTTATTCTTCGTTATTACTATTCCTTTGTCTCACACCTCTGTTTACTGTCTATATTATTATGCATTTCTTCTACTTCCTTCTCTTTCTTTGTGTGCTGCATGGAGTGTGGCGACTTGAACTGCCGCACATATGTGGAAAGTTCTATGTCGAAAACAGACAGACAGACAATCATCTCTTAGAACAGCTGCATCGACAATGTCTGAAAATTAACATGATATTATTTGCTTGATGATGGTATCTTCACAAATCATCAGTGTAACCGTTCTGAAATCCGACAGGTCAACAGAGACTGAGTATTTGATTGGAAACTAATAACTAGTGTGATGCGTCTAGTTCTCTCTTTGGTGCAGACTGAATTCTATCATTCAGTCAAGTTTGTAATGTGGCCACTATTCTAGGTAGCTCACCATCACGATGCACACTGATTTGATGATATTAGATGGTTGGAGGCAATCGGCTACAGGAAGCCTTGCACCTAGGTTTCGTGCTAGTTGGCACTCACCAGTAAGCAAGGCGTATCTACAACCTTGAAAGAACTTATTCCCTTTCTGAGATTCGAACCCGCGTCACCCAGTGCTGCATCGTGATGGCGAGCTACTTAGAATGGTGGCCACATTGTAAACCTGATTGACTGATAGAGTTCAGTCTACACCCAAGAGAGGACTAAACACATCGCACTAGCTACTAGTGTCCAATCAAAGTATCCAATTCAGTCCAACAGGAGGTCAATCGCGAGTCCGAATAGCTCAGGGGTAACGTCTCTGACTGTAGCACTGGGTGACGCGGGTTCGAACCTCACAAGGGATATGAGTTCCTTCATGGTTGCAGATACGCCTTGCTGACGAGTGCCAACTAGCACGAAACCTAGGTCCAGGGCTTCCTGTGACCGATTGCTTCCAACCATCTAATATCATCAAGAGACTGAGTATTTCGATCCGGGAAATTCAGATTAGCCTACACTAATAACAACTGATAGCTGCTGCTGCATAATACGTGGTCCCCATGGCCCAGCGTTAGAAACAACAGTGGGTACACACACCATTGCTGACTTGAGAAATGCAGGTACTTTCAGCTAACGAGTTCGAAATACGATGGGATGTCTATCCTGGGTTCTGCCGATAGCCACCATCAATCAAATAGCATAAAGAGACGTATATTCAAACTACTTCTAGGATTGACTAGTGCAATGTAATCAGTGATTCGCATATTTTTAAACAATTCAACTACACAAATACGCTGTAGCGCTAAAATGTCTTTGAGCACAAATAGGATTATATGATTTTCAATTGCTAGACTAGTCAGCATGTTATTCAATTTATTGAAGTATACACTTCATCAGATGAACCTAAGGTGCTTGTGATGACTTTGATGACTACTGGTGTAGGAGTGAACAACAGTACTGATGATTGTTAAACTAAGACGAAACACTCGCCCAGTGGTTCTTTCGGTGTTATTTTATAAACAAGTTCAACTTATCACTGAACAGTAATCATGAATGAAGTCATGTAATTCATCTGACTAGATGGAGAGAAAAATTAGAAAAAGATGAACTAGAGCCTTCATTTTGCTTATTTATTGAACGTTTAGACGCTTAAAGCTCAAAGTACCCGGAATAGTCTTTGCATATGTACTTAGCAGGACATGAGTCACAACTTATTGTTTGACGACTGACTGAACACAGTAGACACAGCGGGATTCGAACCCAGTGTCCACTTCCTGAAGGTCGAGAGCTGATGAACCGATTAGCCATACTCTATACAAGTGATATTCGGGAAATTATTTCATTCCGACCACTGATCATCCCACCCTCATAAACAAAAACCAAAATAAATAAACAGAGAAATTGGCAGAAGCTAGAATAGATAGACCATTGGATTCCATTCCAGCGACTGAATGGTAAACGAGCTCTCCCTGCAGCCTAAAGGTCCTCATGAATGTGTACTGTTGAAGGGTCCCAAACTAGGATGAAACAGCTGTTCAGTACTCTGTGGTGATTTTCAGAAGTTCTCTCTAGCTGAAGTCAATTCGTGATTTTTTTTAAAAAAAAAGAGGAATGCTTTAAAACAGCAAACTGCACTACACTTAAGAGTACAAAATTAATGTGGGAAACAATTGCTTTCTTCATTTTGTACACAAACATGAATGACATTTCACAACTTACTCTCAATGCAGATCGTAGGACAGTGATTTGACCAGGTGGATGAATAAACGGTTCACCGTCAACTTGAATAGGTAATTCAGACTTGAGCAAAATTTTCAACTAAGGAAAAATTATAAGAAGGAAAAAAAAGAAATACAGATAGAATTAAACATACTGAAATTATTATTATTGTTAACGTATACTTGATGGCATATTGTGTTCAGCTCATAACTACACCATTTCCCAGTAAATATTGATTTGTGATCTAACGAGAAATCAATCATATCCCTGTTGCAAGCAAACTAACACTTGGAAATTAATCCATCTGCTCACCAGCGACTGATCTCTCTTATGGTATAAAGTTGTCTAGAGTTCTAGTGAGAAGTGTAACAACAGTGGGATCCATCAAGTCAGGTGTAGGGAGAAATACTCGCGCGATGACATTGACCAGCGAACAGGTAGAAGTTAAAATTCATGGCCCATTCGATTCCATTCCAGTGGCTAAAAGACATATCCAGACTACACTCACACACAGCCTATAGGTTCTGTGTTCGATTTTCGTTAGAGTCAGTCATGGGTTTGACTTTCAACGTTGAACTTTTCACAGAAATGCACCAGTGTAAAGTTATCACATTCCATAGAGCACACAAAGGTAGAGGAAAGGAAAAAAACACTAAAACAAACAAGAATGAACAGAAATACACGAAAGAAAGAATAGTAACATGGAAAAAAAAACACGAAAATTTAATGTTTCTGGGAGATTACAAAGAGTCGATGCATCTACGCCATTGAAAACCGTCTTGAGTCATATTATCAAATCCCACATCAATAGTTCTTAGCATCTTGAAGACCACAGGCAGCGACGCGGTTCACATCTCTTCTAAATGGCTGGCTAAAACCAATTGTCTAAGACTACACGGACTGATATCAGATTCTTTACTCTTTTCCAACCTAATCCTATATCAGATAACATTTTTATTATTATTATTGTTCCCTTGGGTTCCTAGTGGAACATAGGGCTTCAACTACACGTCTCCACTTGTTTCTCTCTTCTGCTGTACTTTTCACCTGCATCCATGTTAGTCCATACTGTTTCAGCTCCTCTTCACACGATCTCCTCCATGTCACCCTTGGACGTTCCACTCGCCGCTTCCCTTTCAGGTTCCACTCGAGCTATGGCCTGACGCGCGATGTCACCCAGTGGCCTCCTCAGCTCAGCGAGTGTCCAATCCATTTCCACTTTCTTCTGCATATTTGTTGGGCGATTGGTTCTTGTTTTGTTAGTTCCCATAGTTTCTTGTTGGTGATTCTTTCCGGCCATCTGATCTTCAGTAGACAGCGAAGACAGTTGTTGATAAAGGTCTGCAACAGGCTGTCGGAAATATTCTTTGTGACACACTGGCCAAGTTTCTGATCCGTATAGAAGAACTGACTGACTTGATGTTTGTATTGAAAATCCAAATTTTGTTGTTGATGCAGGCTTAGTGACGAGGATTTCCAGATTGGTTTCAGGTTGATGAATGTGTTCCTCGCCTTCTCGATTTGACATCTTAGTCCGTTCCTCCTGTAGTTGAGACAATGCTCCCTAGATAAGTGAATGAAGTAGCCTCTTCTGAAATCCCTCCCGTTGATGGTGATTGGCACTGGATGTTGCTGCTTGTCGAGAAAGACAACGACTCATCAACATGTCCAACATGTATTCCAGCCATCTCAATGGATACAGGGGCTTCACAACTTTATCGATTAACTTCCCTTCCTTACCTAACGCAAAGCCATAGAGATGCATATTGTTTAACAGTTTTCAATAGCTCCCTCCTATCTGGTATCAGTTCTTTTTTGCATTTCAAAATCATCTACTACTAATACAACACTACAGAATAAGTAGTGAATATAGCTTTAAGTAAAATGCATAAAATGCAAAAAGACGGAGAGAATATTTTCTGTGAAAATGAATGGTACACTCTAGGAAAAGAAGTATCACATGTGTATTATATGACAATTTTGAGTTGGTTAAACAAGAGCAAAGAGGAGAAAAAAGAGAGAAGAGCGGCTGTCAAAACTCTCAAATAGTAGGGAGGAGGCGGGGCAGCGGAAGGGGCTGAATAACATTCAAAAATAACTAATTAGTCTATCAATATATATATAGGAGAGATTGAAGATAACAAATAAAATGAACGCTTTAATACATATATACACATATATACGAAATATAGGCTTTTAATAACACTATTTCTGAATAGTTGAACAGAAATATGACGATGGTGAATGTTGATGACGACCATACAATACAAAATAAAGGCTTGTTTTATCTACTGTCATGTATAATCAACATTTTAAGTAATTATGTAAACTACATTACATAAATATGCCTTTTTTATATGATTATTTCAATAGAATAATTCAGTCATTTCCTCTAACTTTACCGAAATGTAGAGTAGGTATGAAATCACTTCAGAGAGGAAGAAGAAGAGGAAGAAGGAACGAAATGCCAAATAATGACATCAGAGTAAACGATGAGAGGCAGAGAGAGACAAAGTACAAAGTGTAAACTAATAACGGTGGGCAATACTTTCATCCTTTTTTTGTTTACAATAATATGTTGTAAAATGAAGCAGCTGATCGGTGTGTGATTGATTGGTTGAGAGCCGACAGTCACAGGCAGTCATTGACAAATTCTAATCTCTCTCTCTCTTCTCATTTTGATCCCGAATCCAATCAACACTGATCATCATGCGGTGGTGGGTTAATGGGAATAAAACATGTCACAGTTAAGTCACAATCAGTCAATGAAGATTCCACCCTCACATCGACGGATCTACACCTTCGTTAATGTTATTCACTACTATGTATTTAAAGCATAGATTCAGCTTGTTGGCAGTGATGAAGAGGACTTATCTGCGATACTGCCGAAATCTGTGTAACACTGAAGTCAGAAAGATTTCTGCCAATCTATTCACATAGCCAATGTTTGATATGCACAAATTATTTGGCAGATAGTAGCATATGGAACTGTCTATTCTTATGGATGATGTGATGACGACACTCATAGACCGAAACCAGTCAACATTTTCATATCTTCTACTTTAAGAGACAAGATCTGATAGGCATACAAACAACAGTAGAGCGCAATACGCATAGTTCTACTATTAGTCAACTGTATTTCTTGATATCGTTCAAGAACACTCAAGTCAGTCTTCAATCCGAAACAAGTTGGTGATTTGAAATCTACGCAGTACGGGGAGGAGAAAATTTACCAGTTTCCTTCGGAAAACAAAATTATTCTTGACTACCATAAATGGTGTGCGTCGGCCGCACAGCGGTTAGGACACTCACCGGCCAGGCACATGGTCTGGGGTTCGATCCCCGGCCGACGCACTCCTCTACCTCGCTAAACCGGCAGTAAGACTGGTAAAGGGGGAAGGTTGGGCGTGGGGCTAGCAACCCCATCCTGTAAAAATAATCACCACTGCTTCAGAAACTTCAAGTCCTATGTTCCACTGGGAACGTGAAGAAATTAAAAAAAACCATAAATGGTAATCAAGAAAGTAAGAATAAGCGCATAAAACTACATACTACTGATTGACTGAGATGAGTAGTTTTATGCCACTCATATCAATCAGTGGTGTTTGCCAACTAGAATATCGAGCTCATCCGCGGTGTACCAAGTTTGACTCAACCAAGAGAGCCGAATCACCTCAAACCACCTAAATTCTGACTAGCTACTTGAGTGAACTGATAACACCTTAAATCAAATTCGCAATTTGCAAATTAATTAGCAATCCAAGCTCGGTCCCAAACGAGCGAAACAGCCGTCCGGTGTTTAGATCACTTCAATAATCTGACTAGCTGGCAAACACTACTGGTTGATGTGAGTGGTATACAACCACTCATCTCGATCAATCAATAGTATCGTAACGACAGAAGACAAGAGCCAGGCAACAGATCGTTTATTGAGAAAATCAAGAGATATTTATAGATTTTTATGTACATTATTGTCAGCGGAAAAGCAACGTCTTCTGATTGGTTGTTTTCTTTTTGAAGGTTATTCTGTACCACTTGTGACCGTTTCTCAGGAAGTTAAGCCATATATCTGCGAATTCTATTTGCACACTTCGAGTCTACTGTGATTGGTTGGTGAGTTCCTCAACGTTAAGCTGTGATATTGTTTTTCCCATGACCCACAGTCGGGACGTAACATTGACGTAAATTGTTGTCTACAATTTTTGACTTGCAGCCAGCTCGTACCACAGTATGTGGTATTACAAATCACTCTTAAACAAGCCCTTCTACTGAGATGTCTTCAAGTAGTTCATGAGCCAGTTGACAATTTTTACACATATGTGAGGTAGTCAACTGCTTTTTACCCTGTCATCAAGCTAACAGTTAAAGTAAATCATCTCAAAAATAGCGATTCCATATATTAATTTGTTTATTAGATATATCACACAGGGAAACAGTATTATCATTTACTGCACGACAAGGTTTCGAACACAACTTATTATTGTTCATAATGCAGGAGTAAAAGTGGCTAGCATTCAAACCTACACACTCAATAAGAAACAAGCTTGGTCGGTTAAAGCATTCCTCCTATGGAGCCAATTAAACAAAACAATTTAGTTTATCTAATACCCTGTCTGCAATGATTGTCAGGTCAAATACATAAGCCAGAGTAGTAGAACGGGGTCAGTCAAACTAGCGGAGCATAAAAACCTAGCAAAATCTATATTAGTTGACCTGAATAAGATAAGAAATCTGAAGAACAGTTCAGCTATGCCACTCACTACACACAATTACACACACACAACCATACAATAGGATGGATGGGATAAAATGACAGTTTTAAAATCTAATGTAACAGGGTGGAAGGAGAGATTGATAACGAAGGCTTTATTTATCGAATCAACTGCAAATACGTGTAATAGGAATGATTCAACATCTGTCCAACCGGACATCGCCTACGATAAATAGGAGAGAATAAAGAAAACTATAAAACTCAAGTTTCGAAGTCATGTGATGATAATTGGTGAAATGATTATGAACAATAATAAATTGTGTTCGAAACCTCGTCATCCAATAAATAAATAATACTGTTTCACCGTGTGATATATCTAATAAACAATATGATATATGGAATTACATATTACTACTGTGCCCAAGTTTTACGCCTATATCAAAAATAGCATATCGATTGGACAACTAACCACTCCTGATTCACCTCTGTTTCAGTAGTTATTTGAAGGCAATCCAGATAATTCATTGAAATTTCTTAGGCGCGTAGTCTTTAAATTTGAACAACTATAGGGAATTATTCAGTATATTGTTTTGTTGTGTTCATACTTTTATCGTTGAATATACCCAGAGAACTACTTTTATATCCCTTCCATTTTTTATCCAGTAGACAGATGATTGTCGCCCACATTTTCTGTGATGTATAAATTATCTCGCGCATAGAGTGTGCGAGAGGGAGTAGAATAGAGTTGGAAGTTGACACGTGTTTTAACTTGCAGAAGCCAAGTGATTATATCTCCTACATGCATATTGCGACTCTGTTTAAATTCGGTGCCAGTAACAAGAATAAATACATATATACATGTGACTAAACAGAAAGTCATTTATAATTTTGGGCGTAATGTGTTAAACTGTATATAGAGAATGAAAGATAACGAGTAAGATTTTCAATAGTTATGAATACAACTTATAATTAATATTTTAATATATGTTACGTAAGTATCGTTTCAACACTGGAGGCTGTATGAATAAGGATGTCTAAGCCAATCACAATGGGGAAAGTAAAACAGGCATTCACTACTCTGAAATCGATGAGAAGATCTACAGTACTCAAGCATAAGGAACAAAAATTGAATTTTGAAAACTAATCAGTGCACGTCATTCAAAGTATTTCTAACAGGCGGCTGGCTGCACACGCTTATCAAATAGCCGCCCAGATAGGAAAAACAACAAGGAACTCTCACAGCTAATCAATCAACCAAGAACCTATTTGTTTAACAAATACGCAGAGACCTATAGAAGGTGAATTGGATACAAGAAATGAGGACACCATTGAGCGACATTGCAAACCACTTGGACTCCCAAGTGAAACCTCCAGTGGGAAGTGATGAGTGATAATGTGGGGAACAAACAAAAGCTTATGTGCGGTTCTATAGCTGGTTGAAAGTGATAGCAGAGAACGGAATGCAATGGAGATATTCCACTAAAGGTTTCTATTCTACTTGGAAAAGAGTAAACGAATATTAATTGGTTGCAGGGTTTCATCATGAGCTGAAATCAGTTAGAGAATAACTGGAAAACCTGGAAGTGCTGGAGAGCTGTTTTGTCCTAGTTTGGTACTCTTCATCAGCACACGCCCACTGATATCAGTTCATGATGAAACCCTCCAACCAATCAAACACAATCCCTGCAAAACCAATACTTGAGAATATTAATTAGTAAAATGTGTCGGTGGCACAGTGGTAGAGTGTTCGCCGACCATGCATGTGGTCCGAGGTTCGATCCCCGGCCGACGCATTCCTTTACCTCGCTAAGCCAGGAATGAGACTGATAAAGAGGGAAGGTTGGACATGAGGCTAGCAACCCCATCCTGTAAAAATAAACACCACTGCTACCGAAACTTCAGGCCTCTAGCTTGAAGCCCTATGTTCCACTGGGATCGTAGAGGATTAGAGAAAAAAGTAAAATAATATCACAGCATAACAATACACGAACACAAAGGCATTACATACGTGTGCTGCTTGAGCAAGACGAATTCCAGTTCCAAGACCAGAATAAATTTGACCCATATGAACGACACCAGAGATACCGACAACTTCAAGTAAACCGTCATAATGTGTAGGCTTTACAAATTCATCGTCTTTTTCAACACTCCATGGATTAGCTCCACCGCCCCAAGATAGGATATTCAGGACAACCAAGCCTTCAATTGGCGGTAACATTACAATCTTTCCATCGGCAACGACTACAATTTGTTTATGCAAATCTTTACACACAGTTCGATTAATCATTTTTCGTAGACCAATTTTGAAGTAAACACCTTTATTATGAATGCTTTAAAACATAAAAAATAAAAATAAAGTACCAGTGAAAATATTGTTGATTACAATATTCCAAAATTTTCTTCATTTTATGCTTCTATCACAACAAAATGAAAACGAGTTTAAAGAAAACAAACTTCAGTAGTACTAGATTCAAAAAGTGACTTCTCAATCTCTAAACTGTGGCGTTTTATACCGTATTCCTAATTTGATCAAGGATTGATATCAGTTAGGGAATCATTGAAAACCACAGAATACTAGACAGCTGTTTCATCCTTATTTCGGACTCTTCAGTAGTAGACACCTATGACCTCACCGAGGATCGAAACCAAGGAGGTTCAGGTACTAGATTAGCTCGTTCACCATTCAGCCTCTGAGACGGAATCCAGTAGCCCAATTTGTGAGTATTTTCCCCCACATCCGAATTGATGGACCCTATTAAACTCTTAACAAGAAGGTACTGAAATCAATTCCTAGTTGGGTCATAGTTGCGTTCTACTGACGAATCCCAAACTGGGACGAAACAACCACCCTCACTAACTGATATCATTGCGTCATAAAACTAGAAACCAATCAAATCCCTACAAACTAATACTTGAAAATGAATCAATTGTCCTAAGAATCAGTGCTGATATGCAAATATACTTTAGTTATCACACTGACTACTCACACCAATCCGCCATAACAACCATCTGATAATTGAAACAGAAGATTTTATAGATCAGAAATCACATCACATGGACAAGTTAGCATAGCCAAAACAGAACAAAACAAAACAACTATCATAGAAATCCTACCAGCGACTTCAATTTACACACATAGCGCTTGTATTATTCATCCCCGTAATATAGAATTATGTGTATTTTCATAACTTAGTAGATTGCAACAGAACTTATCAACTTCACACTGATTAAATACTATAACAGACTATAAGTGAGTAGTTTGTCATGGCAACAAAAGGAGTGTTTTTTTTGTTTTACACAGTTTTATGATTAAAATTGTAATTTTCAGATAACAATCACGTAGTACCTGATTGATAGACACTTCCTGTAATGTATTACGTAAATGTTATTTATCTGGAATTTACAATTTCTATGTTGCTATGTTAATGCAACAACAACGACAACAACACCAATAAAAGAAAACAGAATTTACCGGCTGTTAAATTTTGATGGATTCTCTGATCGTGCATTATGAAAGTCTAATGCTAAATCAGCATCAATACCAATACCGAAATAATTATTCATAATAATCATAATAGAATTCTCTTCATTTGTATTCGATGCATTAGTTTGCAACTCTAGGGCTAATTTCGCTTCATCTTTAAAATCTTCTTCTGGTCGAACAATCAGCGTCCAACTAAAATGTGTTGAATAAGAATGAAAACAAAAAAGGTAAAAATTGATAACTCTTGTTAAGTCAGAAGATGCAAGATGCAAGATGAGGTGGTAATTTAAATGTGAGATATTACAGACTGACTAGTGTTTTGATTTGATCACCCCTAACGCTTTCCCAACCTAATCGTATGTCGGCTAACATTGCCCGCTGATGAAGGCAATGATTTGGTTTGAGTGAAATTTCAGTTAATGCAGCGTCACTACATCAATTGTTGGATCGACTTCCTCTCCTTGCCTAACACTATACGCCTAACCTCGATACTACTCACTATATTATACAACTTAACACAGGAAACAGGACGCAAACACTTATGGTCATTGACACTCAGTCTCTTCAATTCTCCCACCTTTAACTCCATTATAGATAAGATTTTATTTCGGTAAATCACACAGTGTTATACGGTAATATTAACTGATGACCACGTTTCGAGCACAAATTATTGCCACTCATAATCATATCAAGTTACTCGCACAACTTTTTCCTTCATTTATATACATGTGTGGAATTGACTAGAAATTTGAATAAAAATCAATATGGGATAATGAACATTCAGAAATAATAACATGAGTTATTGATCAAATACAAACAGATGGGAAATAAGACGAGTGTTTTTAAAGTCATAATAAGTTACTTGTTAGAATGTTGTGATATGCTTGAATTGAAATAGAATTTTAAGATTATTTATTATCCTCTTCTGATTTGACTGACTGGTGGTAATAATATCTTCCATATCTCTGGCATTTGCATTGAGTCATTTCTGTTGCATGTGTTGGGTGTAGACTCGATGAATCAGGCAGGATTCAGTAATCAATCAATCTCTCTCTCCACCTACCTAGATTACTTTTTAGAATTTTAACCCTCTCTCACCATGCTATTGTGTGGTTGTGTGTTAATGCATGCAGTGCAATGTAGTGCTGAGCTTTTTTCTAAATTACTTATCTTCTCGGGGTCAACCATTCTTACCTTAGCTAAATTCTTATGTCCCGACAATCTGATTACCCCTGATCTACTAGTCTGATCTATGTAGTTGACTTAACTCACAGTCATTGCAAGGTATTTTGTAAATTATATTATTTTGTTTAATTGGGTCCACCGCGTCTTTTAGCCTACAGAGCTTGTCTCTGAGTGAGTGAGTTTGTAGGTTTGAATGCCACCCTAATTCCTGCTTTATTGAGAATCCTACGTAGAGTCTCAGATGTCCTCTCCTTATATGTTTGAACTGTAGATGCCTTATATTCTGTCTTATTTACGTTAACATTATTAGTTTCAACATTATTTTTATTTTGCTTTCGACCTTTTCAGATCTTCCTAATGAATTTTATAGGATAGTTATTTAACACCAACGCCTCTTCTATCTATTTTATTTCATCATTTAGGTCTTTTCTTGTGCTACTTAGTGCTACTGCTCGGTTAATATTACTGTATAACACTGTGTGATTTATCAAAATAAAATCTTATCCATAATGGAGTTATACTCTACCACCACAGTGCCCAAGTTTTATACTTATATCTTCCACCTTTAACAGCCACATTTCACAGTCATAAAGAACGATGAAGCTAACTCCTGAGTAGTACACACGTTTATTCATCGATACGCCGGTATCAAGTCTACGCCAGGGATGACATAAATTAACATCTGGCACACGAGTCTTTCGTATCCACTCTGAGACTTCTTCATCAATCAGTCCATTAGGGTTGATGTAACTTAACAACAAATAAGTGAAGTCGTCAGCATGTCCATCTACTTCACTTCCTATTTTTAAACTAGGGAGTCAGTACAAGTCATTCCTGTGGCATCATCTGACATTTGACAGTAGTGAATCTCATACCCAACACTCAAAGATTTCTGCTCAAGGCGTTGGGTGGTTGACCTACCTGTGAAGCTTTCAAGCTGTCTTTCAACGCTTAGTTCAATATGAATTAAATAAGCACTGAAGATGTTGTCTAGGAGAACAATGAAAAGTCCACAATTAAATCACTCAGCTCAAAAATGTACAATCATTTAATAAACATCCATCTGAACTATAAATTTTCTCTATTATTTCAGAATCATTTCGCATCCACACTGAAGGATAGAACAGTTGTTTGGTATTCTAATCCCCTTAATCAAGAAATGTGGAAATGTGGCTCATTGGCGTAAACGCTTAGTTTTCAATCAATTATTGACGGGTTTGAGTCCCGCTTCACCCACTTCAGCCCAGACAGTATCCACCAGCCCGTCACGTGACTCTTAATCTGGTACATGAAAAATCTGATCCGGGTAAATGAGTTCAAACATTCCGTAAAGAAACGACAATCAGCATATTTGATATATACATGCAAAGTTACTCAATTCAGCAGATGTTTTGGTTAATAATTTATCCCCTCACATTTCAAAAAGAAAAGAATTTACATTAAGAAAAAAGACAAACAATAAAATTTTCAAGTACCGGTCCAATTTCACTTCTTCTGCGGCGACAACATCTTTGAGAATAGTTAAAGGATCATCAGCTGATGAGTAACCAGAACCCCATCGAAGAACACGTGATAAATCATTTCCAGTACCAAGAGGTAGTGGAGCAATCGGTGGAGCATTACATGCAGCATCTTGTCCAACAATATCCAGGCATGATAATGTCCAGCCTACTGTACCATCTCCACCACAAACAAGAACTTTATATGAAACTAAATGACGGAAACAATATAGACCTGGTAGAGGACCTCCATAGTCGAGGTTAAATACCTAAAATAAAAAATTGAAAAAAAGAACACTGTGAATTGCTTAATCAGAATAAAAAGTTTGAAAGAAGAAGAACAAGGATTAATTTGTATTCCAGCGCTCCACAACTGCCCATCAGCTTTCAGTTCCTCCTAATACGAACTCCTCCACCTTACTCTCGCAGACTCAACTCGTCGTTTCTCATTCGGATTCCACTCGGGGGTCTGAGTGGTTCGTGTTGTTACTCGATGATCCCCACAGCGTAAGCTCACTCCATCCCTATTTTCTTCAACATATTTGTTGGACAATAAGTTTTTGATTGATCCGTTCCTTTCCAGCCGGCTTTCTGATCTTCAGTATGGAGCGAAGGAAGCTGTTTATGAAACAATGTAGCCTGTTAGAAGTGCTTTCCGTCATGCGCCAGGTCCCTGAACCATATAGAACCACTGATTGGACATCAGTGTTGGAAATCCGAATATTATTTCCTCATGCTGAGTACAGCAGACTTTCACGCTGATTTCAGATTAAAAGATGGCTGTCTTGCTTTCGCGATCCTGGCTGGTTTTAACACCCTCAATTTTGCCGCCTATAGTTGAAATGTTGCCACTCAAATAAGTGAAAGAATTGACCTCGTTAAAATTTCTCCCGTTGATGATATTGATTGGTTGGTGATCGAGTATTTTCATCACCTCTGTCTTTCTCTATGTTCACTTGAAGTTCTGTCTTCCCTGCCTCTTCTGCCAACTTTTTAGTTTTCGCCTGTAGATCTTGAAGTTTGTATGATATCAGACATAAATCACCTGTGATGTCCAAATCATCCAGTGTCTCCTCTTCAGTTCAACGTATACCCCTTACCTTACCTAATGCCTTGTATTAATTAGTTAGCTACCGTCAAGAATCAAATTCAAACTGAAAGACAAAGTTACGAATGTCTACAGCACTTAGATGAGGAAGTAACTCATCGAAATGGTCGCGCTATGTCGTGAATTGGCAGAACTTAGAATTCATGCGTTGGCCATTGGATCGGGGTCCCAGTGGCTCAATGGTCTACGAGCTAGCTCACCTTGTAACCAGAAGGTCCTGGGTTCGAACCCTGCCAGTGGGTGCGTACTGTTGAAGAGTACCAAACTAGGAGGGAAGAGCTGTCCAGTACTCCTTACAGGTTTTCAGGTGGCTCTCTAACAAATGTCATCTCATGATGAAATCCTCCATCCAGTCAAACAAAATCCCTACAAAACCAATACTTGAAAATCAATTAAGTGTAGACGTCGTTCTTCTTGTCTAGTTTCGTAGAATTTAGACAATCTTGATTCAAAAAGATTGAATAAGTACAAGTAGAATAAAAAAGAAGAGGAATAGATGAATAAAATTGTAAAATATGTATTCGAAGTGTACAATATAAGTAAGTGAACACACGCAATGTTGTTTACTACAGATAGATAAGTAGTAGTAGTAGTACTAGTAGCATGAAACTCAACAACTATATACGAGTGTATTTGTAATAGATAGTGAGAACAAGTTACAACTCATTATTATTATTATCAATCAACAGATTAAGAGAATACAAATAAATATGTAGAGAAAATAAGTAATTATCTGTATTACATGTCGCCTTTCCTCTTCTATTGAAAGCATAATACATCGGAAGAACAGAGAGAAGGGTTATTGTCCGCATTTCTGAACACATACCAAAGAACCTGAGACTGAAAGGTCCGCAAGCATTAAACCGTCCGATTACGTGTCATTTATTGGACACTGGTCATATTCTAGACAACCTGAAGTCTTTTTCAAATAATCAACAAGCAAAAGAAACCTAGCTTGCTGCGCTTTGCTGAAGCAATTACTATCAAACGAATTAAACCAAATCTATGTACGCAGAAAGAGACAGTGGTGAATCTTGCACTACCCTGGTGATAACAAAATATACAACTTGTATGAGTCACCTTTTTTCTTGTTTAGAAAACTCTACTCTCTCATCTAAACATGACTCACCCTATCTTCCTCTTTTCTCTTCCTTTTTTTCTATTGGCTATTAGATAAAACATTTTCTTTAGTTACCTAATCTACGTTTTTGTTATGCTCTTTCTCGCTAAACCTTGTTTCTATACATACACATATATATATATATATAGGCAACTCTGTTTTTTGTTTCCAAGCCTAATTGTCTAATTATTCTATAAATAGTCAGTGTTTGTAACTCTTAATTAGTTAAATCATTCCGGACTAATGTTACTTTTACTTCTTACCAATTACTCCTTGTGATTGTGGAAAAGTATGTTCAAATCTTTAATGTAATGTAATTCATATTTTTTTATCGTTCAGGTTGTAACCAGTTGAGAAGAATCCTCGAAATAATAAAAGATGAGCTCATATTATCCTGGTACAATTGTTGTTCTTGCTTTGTTCAAGTTCATAATAATATCTATTGGATAGTTGGACACTTATTCTTCAAGATTTTTGACATTAATGCTAAAATAAGTGACTGTGTACAGTTGTGTTTCCCACATGAAACATACGCACACACACAAACAAAAAAATGGTTTTCGTAAACAGGAGCATTCATGAAAATAATATATATATAAGTATATGTGTGTCGGTGGCCACAAAGGTAGAATGCTCGCCAACCACGCCTCATGTAATCCGTGGTTCGATTCTCAGCCGACACAATCCTTTGCCTTGCTAAGCCAGTAATAAGATTGGTAAAGAGGGAAGCTTGGGCGGAGGCTAGCAACCCCATCCCGTAAAAAGCCTTTGACTTGAAGCCCTATGTTTCACTGGGAACGTGAAGGAAAATATATATATATGGTCAACCGAGGCTTAAAACTCCTCTACGGACCGTCAGTACTGATGGTCGATATCTTCAAACAAAGTGATCGTCAGTGGTTCTACTCTACTATATGTGCACCTAATAGTCTGACATCAGGCTTACAACTAGGCACCTTTAGCACCAGATTTCTCAACATTATCCTGAACGGTTAAGCGATGGACTAACGGAGACAATTTATATTTCTATTTTAGTACATACAATCTGTAGATACTGATCATAAACTTGATGCTAACAAAGTATTTTAGACAGTATCTATTGAATTCCCAACCAGCATCTTAAGTTTCGCTTTACTAGTTTATATTCTCTATACAGTAAAACTCATCAGAATCCACCTAAAGCAGCCGGACCTGTATATCTTCAGAAGAAATTCTTACAGTCGATTTGCTTACCCTAATCATATTTTACAAGAATATAAGAACTGATAATTTCCCTCTCTCCCCTTGTTTACTGACATTTACAAGGCTATTATTATTAATTAAACTATCTTGTTATCTTGTCAACTGCACCTTTAATTATTCACTAATTTATTCCGCTTATTTTTTTTTCTTCAAAATTATACATCATGAAACAACCATTTGTTTTAATTTTCATCCTTTTGACATCTTGACGTCGACTAATTATTGTTGACAACCTAACTTATCACCACCAGATTGGTAATCATTCCCATGAAGAAAAATGTGATCAAAGTAAACAATAAGAAGAAGAAAAACAGAGCAGTGGTTGGAACACATTAGACTGTGATAGCACTAACCTAGGTTCGAATCCTGGTGCCGGCATAGTTCCGGCTTTGCTCCCACAAATGACGTAATACGACGACTGACGGTTGGTACACATCCGTCTTCAGCCGTCATATAACCACGCATCCATAGCCTCCGCCAAGTAAGTCTTATTCTCACTGCCTTCACACGCACAACGGAGGTGTTCCTCGAAAAAGAGTGAAACTGAGGATGAGAACATGTAGCGCTTACAACCGGACTAGTGGACATCCAGACATAACTAGGGCAGCTGATTCCGAAAAGACCGAATGGTGTATGAACCTGCTTTGACCACGTGAAAAACCTGGACGTAGCTCCTGACGCTGTTCTACTGTCATGTAGACCAAATTTCAAATCAAAGGCTCAGGGAGAGGAGAGGGAGCTTAAGACAACCACATGCTTCGGTTTGGACATCCATGGAGTATCTAAGCCGCCAAATAAACTATGAGATTTTATGTGGCGCCTCTCTTGGTGCCCATAATGTGCCAATAATTATTAGTGTTCTACTGACAAGGATTTGTAAGTAGTAATTTGGTGACGTCTTCTGAAAATGTTCCTTGAATATCGAAGAGACAGATTAAGTTGCAAACGCGAGAGTAGATAGATTTTTTGAAACAAAAGAAAAGGAGTAGGATGAAGATGAAACGAAGTAGAATACGACAAAACATTTTGCAAATTGGTTACAAATGTCACAATGTAATGTTTTTAATATCATCATCTCATCAAAGAAACAATGCGTTTACTGAAATTTCACTGTGTTCTACTGTTACGGTATACGTAGTAGTAGTGCTGGTGTAGGCAATGATATCAGCAGAATACAATGAGCAACAATGAGCAAAATAATACCTAATGAAGATGTTCCTATATGAAATTTAATTTTTTGGAAGGCATTTTCTTACTTTTGATTTGAAAAAAAAACAAGTGAAGACAAGACTTGTTTACGACAACAACAAAAAAGAATTATCTAAACCAATCACTACAGATTAGAAATCAATAAACCTAATTGAGGAGAAAATCAACAGAGTTAGGTAAATAAGGTAAAAAAAATTGAGAAGCTGGATAAAAATAAAGCCTATGAGAAAATGTAACTTATCTCAAATTAGATATAGATTTCGTCACGCGCCAACATCAATTGAAAAGAAGCGCTGAAAACCAAGGAGTACTGGATAGCTGTTTCGGCCTGGATTAGGACTCTTCATTAGCGCAGCACTACTCATGAACCCAAGTGGGTTCGAGAGCAGGATCTTCAGATTATGAGACCAAGCTCGCTAATTGTTTAGCCGAATGGGGTTGGGGGGGGAGTTCAATGATCTATGAATTCTGCCCTTTTTCAATTGGTGTTATAGTGCTTTAGATGGACATCGGCTTCAACATTGACAACATAATGGATCCCACTGGCCACGACTTCTTACTACCGGCTTCAGGACATGGTTTTCTTTTGT